AGGAGTCAAGGATTCAACAACTTCTCTGGAAACGTGAGTCGGCAACGAAATCCTCTTCTCCAAGTTCACGAGTCAAATTCCCCACTGAGTCTGAACTTACCGCTGTGTCTTCCCCTCATTTTACAGTTCCCGTTGAGCTGTGTTCAGAGCAACATTTCTAACTCTGTTTAACTTCTTCAATAAAACCCTTTAAACCTTTTCCCTGGTCTCTCTGTTCGGTTTTCTGCATTTGGGTCTGAACTTTGTAACATCATGACAGCAGGAATAATCCTCACTTGTTTATCACAAAATGCTCCTTTTATATCATAAGGAAAACAACTTATATGTTGGAATGGCTGATTTTAAAGCTAATATCAACAAATATTGAGAATATGCTGATAATATCATGCATCCCCATAGGAAAGAATTACATTTGAAATAGAAAATAAGATTTAGACTTCATAAATGGGAAATTTGAGGAACAATAAACAGACCTGTACATGTTCTGATTCTGGTCTGTGCTGAGGGTTCGACCATTCTTGTGCCAGCTGACGGAAGGTTTGGGAATACCACTGACCTCACAGGGTAAGGTGGTCTGCATGTTGACCATTACTGTCACATTGGTGCGACTTTTAGCGATCGAAGGTGGAACTACGAGATAAAAAAATAAAAAAAGGACTGGAGTAACATCGTAACTACAGCTGTGTTAAGCAATGGCCAGTCTAAACATATATCTACCACCTACCATAAACCTGAAGATCCAACCTCTTGCGCTGAGTACCAGCTTGATTTGTAGCCATGCACAGGTAGCGTCCTGTGTCCGTCACCTGAGCCGAGTGGATGTGTAAAGATCCTTCCTCTGAAAATGTATATCTGCAGAAATATAATGAAATTAGTCATGACATTCAGAGCGACAAAGTTTAGAATGAGTACAAAACAATAGCAGGTTTTACCTGGGATTGTTTTCTGCTATTATTTCTCCATTTTTCCTCCATGTGACTCGAGGCGGCGGGACTCCGCTGACTTCACATTCGAGAGCCACTGGCTTGCTGACATGCGCTGACACCATCTGAGATCCATCCTTGATAGTTGGAGGCACTGATTGGACAGATATTCCTATTAACAAACCTATCATGGAATGTTTTGTTATTTCTTAATGTTTTAAGTTTTTTTATTCACCGTTGACAGTTAGATTAAACAGTCGAGCGGTCTTGCCAGCGATGTTACTTGCCACACAGGTATACTGAGCCGTGTCAGAGAGCACCGCCATGTTGATCTGTAAATAGCGTCCACCGGACAGAATCCGCAGTCGTGGTGAGATCTACACAGGCACAGACATAGAAACGTGTGAGTCATAGTTGATTTTAAAATAACTGTATCTCTTTTATTTGAATTTATTTGACACAAGTAAGCAATTTCTATTTTATCAGTTCTTTAGCATCAACTTTATTTCCACTTGCATATCACTTCGTATTGATAAAAGTTTTTTCTTTGTAAGATACCAACAAAAGTTTTTCTTTTCTGTTATGCGATGCTATTCTATTCTATTCTAGTCTATTATGCAATGCTATTCTATTCTATTCTATTATGCGATGCTATTCTATTCTATTCTGCTATGCTATTCTATTCTGCTTTGCTATTCTATTCCGCTATGCTATGCTATTCTATTCCGCTATGCTATGCTATTCTGCTATGCTATTCTATTCTATTCTGCTTTGCTATTCTATTCTATGCTATTCTGCTATGCTATTCTATTCTGCTTTGCTATTCTATTCTGCTTTGCTATTCTATTCTATTCTGCTATGCTATTCTGTTCCTCTTTGCTATGCTATTCTATTCTGCTATGCTATGCTATTATATTCTGCTATGCTTTTCTATTCTGCTTTGCTATTCTATTCTGCTATGCTATTCTATTCTGCTTTGCTATTCTATTCTGCTATGCTATTCTATTCTAT